AACTCCCGGCCTGAAGTAATCTACCCACCTCAGCCTCCTAAAGTGCTGAGATTACAGGTGTGACTCACTGTGCCCGGCCAGATTTTTTTTTTTTTTCCTGAGACAGAGTTGGTCTCACTCTGTCGCCCAGGCTGGAGTGCAGTGGCCTGATCACAATTCACTGCACCTTTGACCTCCTAGGATCAAGCAATCCTCCCAGCGCAACCTCCCGCTGTTGAGATTACAGGCATGAGCCACCACGCCCGGACTGGGGGGCAGGCTTGAGGGATGTGCAGATACTTGGGGGTCAGACCAGACTCTAGACCACTTGGGGCCAGAGGGTGGCTCCAGGTGGCCAAGATCAGGCTGCAACCAGTCCCGTAGAGGCCTTGGCCTCCCGGAGCCCAAGGGACTGTGTACGAAATGCACTCAGGAGGAATCTGGTCGTGTGACTTCAGGCTCCCTTCCAGGAATGAGATGACCGTTGGCCAGACTCCAACACTGAGTTCCCTGGATTACCCCTCCTCTGATGCTGCCCCTTGCCCTCCTTACCCAGCACTGGTCCCTCTTTCTCTGGGATAACCTAAGCCCAGGAGCTTCCCAGGCCACATCCATCCTGGGAGTGTGGGTGAGGCAGGGCCTTCCGACATGGGTGCAGTGCCATCCGGTCCGAGTGCTTGCAGCGACAGCCTCTACGCGTTCCTTGGTGAGCAAGCAGGTGCTTCCCTCCAGGAAATGAGGACCGGCCGGACGACGCCCTGCAGACTGCTCTGAAGAGAAGGAGAGACCTTCTACAGAGACTCCGGGTAGGCCCTGAACCCTCTGAGCGAACCTGGCTGAGCTCACTGTAGTAGAGACGGCTGCCCAGCCTTACAGCACCGGGTGGGAGGGTATTGGGGAAGACCTTTCTGGACTCTCAGGGCTAGGCCCCAGTGAGGGCACTGTTAGCTTAGAGACCTGCCTGTGTGCAGGTTTCCATCAGGGCAGGAAATGTTGAGTAGGGGCCCAATTCCAGGAGGACCTGGAATTCTGGGATGCCCGGAGGTTTGCTCCCACGGCACTCACCAAAGATGCATCTGAGTGGCAGAGACGCCGGGGAGGTGGGGCCGCTTTTCTAGGGGGAGATCTTTGCAGCGAAGTAGGCCTGGAACTGGCTTGAAAGAAC